GTGAGATCTACCTGCCCACCTATTTCTGCCCTAGTTCTGCTCTCAGACCTAGTGTGAATACTGTCAGTAAGTTCTGAGGCATGAGCAGAAAGGCCAATCAGCATTGAGATCAACCAGAAACTGAACACCAAGGTCAGCCAGAGGCTCTATGGCAGGATGGTCAGAGCCAAGACACAGAAAGAGTGGCAAGGTAGGGTGTGGACCAGCCAGTGAGATCAGATAGGGGAGTGGCTAGAGGCTGGACAGGATGTTCTCAGGCCAATGGGAGAAAGATACTTACCAACATGGAGGGAGGCGGGTATCAGGTAGGATCTGTTCAGGGTGGCAGAGACCACCTTGGCTTCAGAAGTAGCCTCCCCTCTACTCAGTTTCCAGAGCTGGGGCTACATGAATGAAGCTCTGCTACTTTAGCACCCTGCTTAGTAGGCAGAGTTTCCATGGTGGTGGTGGTGGTGGGGGCTGTACCTCTCAGTGGATAGGATATGGTTTTCTGGGGCACACCTTTAACTCACCCCTACTCAGCTGCCACTTTGCCATCTTCTTAGCCTGGCCATGTCTGGGGACAGCAGTCCTTTCCTTGGCCAGCAGACTAGTTGAGGATCTGGGTATATGTGTTCCTGGCATCCTTGCTGTAGCCCAGACAACAGGATAGGTGTGACTTGTGAAATTCCCATTTTCTAGGCCCACAGTGACCTCTCGCCTCCTTTCCCTCTGCCTCTTGATTCTCCTTCATGGAGGCACATCTTAGCTTCATAAGTATGCTGTGTGACCACAATCAAAAGTAGGACAACTAGAGACAGCTGGCGGCAAGTGGTCCTCCCAAGGGAGGGCCTTTTCTTAAGGCTGCAATGCCAACGAGGTCCTATGCCTTGGATTGTGGAAGTTCCATGTAACATCTCTCGCCTCTTGTGTGGCTCCAGAATGAGCCGTTAAGTGGCCTTACCCTGGATGTCCTCTCAGACTAGATGATGCTGTGTCACTGATTCCTGAGAGGATTCTGAACCTCACATGGGTGCTTGTGGGGCTCAAGATTTACTCTGTGGTTGATGGACAGATCTTGGTGGCCCTGGGGTGTCAGAATGTCAGAGGTGAGGGGTCAGAGAGACAATGACCCATTGTCACCCTCATCTGCCTGAGGAGTTCCCTCCTTTTAGAGACACCCCCCCCCACTTGCATCAAACCAGGATGCCTGGCTTGTGTACAGGAAAGAATTTCAGGACTAGCCAGTTTATGGTGCATGGTTGAGGCTTACTAAAGATACTTTAGCATAGGCATAAGCAGAAGGGTTAAGAGAAAGGGATGTGCTCAGAAAGGGAGACACACCTGAAGGCATGGCCTCCAGCTTCTCAGAGAAGAGTCAGGGTGCACTGTCTACCCCACCTAGACATACCATTGCTGTCAAGGTATAACTCGACAGGTTGCTAAGAAGGCTTTCGCCCCATTTGCTTTTCTCTCTTTTGATAAACGAGATGGCTCTGACATGTCCTGGAGGAAGTTACACTCTGATCAGCTGAAACCAGGCACCGCTGGGGGTGCACAGGGGCTTTAATACATGTCCTTTCCATGTAAATGGAGTTTCTGGTGAAATTCCCAGAAAATGGCAGGTTTACAGCTGGGAAAGAAAGGAGTCTTAAGCAGTTGCTGGTTGTGTTGGAAATCACGCTTATGTTGTTGTTTCCAACTATATCCAGAGTCAGGAGGTTCCTGCCTCTCCTCATTCCCCCAAAATTTCCCTGCCTTTCTACCCTGCCTCAGGAGAAGCAGCATGGGCACCAGGTGGGGGATATGTGGCCTTCTGTTCCTCCCTCGACATTCACCTTGAACACCACAGGAGTTGTCCAGCACCAAACCAACCCAACCAACCAAACCAACAGAAACCCTTGTTTTTACAAAAGGCAAAGAATCAACAGAACTTCAGAAGGGGTGATCCTCTCTGCTGTCCTGACCTTCACTCACCCTCATGCTTTCTTTCCTCAGTGGCCACAGAAGTTTCTAGTGCCCTTTCCAAAGGTGCTGAACTTTTTTTTTTTAAATGGGGAAGTCAGGATTCAGGGATGGGTACCCTCAGCAGGTCAGCATGGAACAGCCTCCAGCAACATTCCCTGGGCCGCCTGGGGCCTCACTTTGCCTGGGTCTGAAAGAGATTTTTGTTTTCTGGTGAGAACAGCCCCCAGCCTGACCTGGCTGCAGGAGCCAGCCGCAGGAGTGCAAACCCTTTCATGTGATGGGCCCAGAGAGGAGTGAAGCTGGCCAGCCAGCAGCAGGCCCTCCCCTGCAGCTTGGAAGGCAGGGCGGCTATTTGCATATTCCCCCATTCATCCTGCCCTTGAAAAGGAAGCCTGAGTTCCCAGTCCCTGGCTCAGCCAAGGACCCAGTGCTGGAGTTCCAAGTTAACCCTGTGGGCCTTCACTGCTACGGGGCCAGGACTGCAAGTGTTAACCAGCCCTGAGCTCCAGCATGCTGATGCAGAAGGGAGCCGGTTTCCATTGATCAGCATTGCCTTCTGCTGCAATGGAGAAAATTTCCTTTTATTTATTCCCACGAGAGCCAGAAAGTATAGCAATTTATCTTTGTCAGAAAAACCTTGAGCCTGAGGAAAGACTGAGTCATTGCTTAATGTGTAAGGTGTATACACACACACACATGTATGTGGAATTGTGGGTAAAGGAACAATATGGGTTCCAGGCTACAGGAGCAGCACTCATGGCAAAGACAGAGAGACACAATTTGCCTGGGACACTTTTGTATCCCCAGGCCTCAGGGTCCTGGATGGTGGTCAGGTGACCCACAAGCTGTGCCTTGGAAGGCATGAGGCATACAGTACCAGCTGTGATCTCTTATGTTCTTCAGTAAATAGCCAGCCTCAGCTTTGTGTTCTGGTCCTTGGTACAGCCAGTCTTTTGCCTCCTTCCCCGCACTGAGGGATCTTGTCAGGTGCCTACACTTTATAGGCTCTTCCTGTGACAAACCAATCCACCGTGTCACTCCGCCTCAGCCCAGCTGTCCTCTATGCCCCACCCCGCAGCCCCATCCTTCTCTTAAGGACATGTATCTGGCATTTCTTTCTGAGCAGGTGTCCCCAAGAGAACAGCAGTGTCCTTAAATGACAAGCAGGCAAGCAAGCCCCTCTTTAGTTTCTCCCTTCCGCCTTAGTAACCCCAAGTGTGTCTTGCCAGGACCCTTTCTACCTCAAGGAGCATGGTCCTAGCTAGAGAAGGCTGTCCCATCTGTGCCTTGGCCATCTGCAGTTGGGCTCTTGAGCATGTGTTTCTGCCAGGAGACCAGATGTGTCCTTCACTGAGCTTAAACTTGCAGCACTTATGATGCGTCCCCCAGTCTTGGCTGGCAGTGGAATGGATCCGTGGCCCCGAGACCCAGGCATTAGCAGTCCTACTGTGGACTTATCTATAAGGGAAAGGATCATGGTGCCGCCAAGGACTTGCCTTCCTACACAATGAGACCTGGCCAGGAGTGTCCCTCTGCCTGCATGGTGATCATGGCCCTCACCAGTATCCCTGGACTTCTGCCTACTGTCCCAGAGTGCAATGTGGAAGAAGGGCTATTGGAGCTTCGGTTTGTCCACAAACCCTTCGTCCATCACAGCCATCTGTTTATTCTGCCATGTAGATATCCCCAAAGGTGCCACCGCCTTTACTGTTTCTATCCCTCTGGCCTGGGAATTCGCTGAACTTGACTTACAGTGAGGGCAAGGCTTATCTAGGCGCCTGTAAAAAGACACTGTGTTTCTGTTTGCTATGCTGATCTCAAGGCTGCTTCTGTTTCTGAGTCTCTGGAAGTGCAGTCTGAGCCTAGCTTCCCGGTCTGATCATACAAGTCTACGATCATGGTCTCTGGCAGGGGTTTGGCCTGAGTGAAAATTTCGAGAGATGCTGTCTTGAGGATGGCCGTGAAGGCTGGTGAAGGCAGGCGATGGAGGCACGGTCACGGTGAGTTGGGGTAGCCAGGGAAGTGGCTCGCCGCAGTAAACCTCAGTTGGACCTTTCATGTAAGGTGCTTTAATCACCCTTAGGAGAGAGCTATAATCAGGCTCCCCAGAGAGCTCGGGAGTGAGCTACTTGGTAACACAGCAACCCTATCTCACAAGGGACACAGGAGCTGCCTCTCCTGGTAGTGCCAGAGTTGGGAAGGGCCTTGGCTCAGTCATCTATGGCTCCGTGAATCTAATTAAAACCCAAGAGGAAGATGAAGAGAAGCCCCTCTGTCATACAGACTTGAGCGTGGATCCCTGTGTAGACGGGAGAGTTGCTCGGCCTCCCAGAGTCTGCTGTCTGGCACTGTATGTTGGGGTTATTCAGATGTGCTGGTGAGACAGGAGCTTTTCTTGCCCTGGCAATTGGGTCCCTCTTCCTGGAGCAGACCTGCTCCCTCAGCTTCATGCCCCTGCCGCCTGCACTTTCCACCCACCAGAACTCTGGTTATGACCACTTGATTTCCCACCCCTTAAGCTTTCCCAAGAATTACTATAGGAGGGCAAATTGCATACTGTGGGACTCTTGTAAACATACTTGCACGCGCGCACACACACATACACACACACACACACACACACACTGAGAAAATGTAATTTTTTTAAAAAGTAAAGTAGAAGACCCACTAAAGAAGTGAAATTCAGCAGATTGGCTGAATTGAGGCCAAGTTCCCTGACTCCCAATAGATGTCCCAGGTGTGTGTGTATTCATAAGTGTGTATGTGTGTATGCGCGTGTATGTAAGAAGGCTTTGTCCTCTGAGAACTCACAACCAACTCCCCTCCCAGACTGAAGACAATGTGGGGTCAGGGAAGGTGGAAGGGCATGGGCTGAGGCCCTGGCAAACTGGCAGAGAGAGGGTTAAGGCAGAGTTGCTTGGCTTTGAGCTGGCCTGAGCTAGCACCGCCCCATGTACAGATGAAGGGGGGCCAGTGGGGGCCTTGAGGGGCCAACAGCTCCTCACAGAGCTGCTCTGCGCCCACAGCCGCTAGGGAGCCACTGTTCCCACAGTTAATGCCTCCACTACCACCCAGCTTCTCAGGGCAAGCGGCTGTTGCCATCAGCTGTCCCCAGGGGCAGGTCCTTCGCAACTTTTGTACTTGATCAAGATGTGGTAACCTCTTTCCCTGGGCTCCACAGGCCTTAGAAAGGGAGGCTGGTTCTAGCAGGACCAGCACAACACCTGCTCAGTGCCCGGAGCCTGCTGGAAAGGTAGGATGTGAATGTAGCGTCTTTTGCAAGTTGTGTTTGAGCCCCGTTGGCTGGCAAAGTCATGAAGAAATGGATCCAGTTAGCTGCTCTCCACCGAGTACTTCCTTTACCGTGTGCCTGGCACCTACTCCCTGCCCATGGCCTTATGTGAGAAGAGACCCTGAGGGGGTTGGTGACTTGCTCATGGCCACATCAAGAATCTAAGTCAGGATTTGAGTCTGGTCAGTCCAGCACTGGAATCCACCTTCTGACTCTGTCCCCAGCTTGTTGACTAGAGGGCTGCACCCTGGGGCCTGGTGAGGTTGCCATTTGAGCTCTATAATGGGAGGTGAGGTGGTTCTTTGGTGATTTCATGGCTTGGTTCGGGTTGCCGTTTATTACTAAAGGCCTCAGAGGTTTGCAAAGGTCCAGGATCCTACTGGACCAGGCTGTACTGATGCTGAGAAAAAGTAAGGGTGATTCTAAGGAAATTCAAGAGAAGATTCAGAGAAATGTGGACATCTTTAGGGCCAACTTGCTGCGGTCGGACTTTGGGTCCTGAGACAGTAGGGAACCAGATGAAGTTTTTGAACAGTGGCATGACAGAGTCACATCTGTGTGACAGGAAGTTAACTTCAGTGTAAGTGTAAGCACAGGTTAGAGAAAAGAGATGGTTGAAGAGGCTAGCCTGGGAATCTGGGCTGCTTTGGGTAGTGATTAGCCTGGGGCTCTAGGATGGGGGAATGGAGAGGTTTGGGAGCGTGACAGGGGTAATGGTTCCACGCTGAAGCATCAAGGTAGCCTAGGAAGGCGCGGAGTGCCAGGGTTGGAGGCTGCAACAGCAGAGGGGTCTCTCAGAGCTGACTCTCCCAGGGCCGTTTCTTCAGGGTCTGTGCTCTGAGCTTTCTACTTTATCACCTTGGAGTCAATGTGTATCCCATCATGAATCCCTTTGTTCCGTCCTCTCCCACCCTTTTTTCACAAGGAAGGTAGGCTTGTTGTGCCACCCACTCTCCAGGGTGAGCTGGTTGGGGGAAGTCTCAGGGTCTCCAGCATGAGCCACCACTAGGTATTCCAAAAGGATCCGTGTTGGAGGGAAAAGCTTGGGACAAAGCGAGTTTCTGCTGAGGGTTGGGTCCTCAGTTATAAACACCCACAGCAGCTTGCTTGGCAACGGCAGCACCAATGGTCCCTGGGGTGTTGTCTGTAAACCCCCACCCACCATAGCTGCTGCAATCAGAAAAGCCTCCTGGGGCATGGGAAGAGGCAGCTGGGCTTGGACCTCAGGGACCACCCCAGGTAAGAGGAGGTCAGAGAAGGCCAAGGCCGTGTAAAATAACCAGAGACGACAAGCCTCCCAGAACTAGTCTCTGCTCTCCCCTCCCACATGCCAAGGGCTTGGTGGCGCACACTGGCTCTGAAGTCAGTGTCCTCAGAGGACCTGGACTCACAGCCCTGCCCTGCAGTGTCTCCCAGCTCTGAAGGGAGCCTCAGAGTGAAAGTGAGCACCTCTGACTGAGAAGGTAAAGCTGGAGAAATGAAACATGCTCGTTGCCAAGGAGGGATGCAGGCCAGACTTGGGGTCAAAGGAACTGTGGCCGCTATAGTTGGCTCCTTAGGTGGACAGCCGCCTGAGGATCTGTGGGCTGTCCTTCATCTAACTCCCTTCACTGCACCAGATGGGAGGAGACTTGTGGTTTGTGTAAGATGAAGAGCATATGACTGGACCCACAGACTGATTCCATGTTCAGATTCTGGTGGCTCTTCATGTTCCCACCACTAGAACTGGATTTTTCTAGGTGTTCAACAGTACTCCAAAGGAGAGGAGACTTGTGGGAATGAGTCTGCATTGGCAGGAGTGCGGTGGCCACATCAGATAAGGGGGTGCACACTGTGTCCCTGACTTGCAGAAATAGTCTTGTGTTCCACTTCCTTACAGTGAGTGTAGGGGCCACAGTGAGGACCACACTGTGTGGTGTAGAGGACAGGTTTTCTAAAAATCAGAAGTTCAGGAGGTCTAGACAAGTCCCCTCCTGAAGCTCAGAGACCGTCCTCACAGGCTTGTGATAGTGACCTTTGTACAGGGTTCAGGGGCTCAAAGGCTGGATTACCGAATAGAGTACTGGGTTCCCCATGCATCCCAGGCACTCTCTAGCTTCTCTCGGCCTGGGACACCCTTTTCTCTCCACCCTTCAACCTCCACAACTGTGCTACTTCCTGCCAGCAGCCGGCTCTGCCTTGTCATAGCTGAGTCAGGCACCTCCTCTGCCTTCTTGTGTCTGATCACAGCCTAGGCCATACTGTACAACACTGCCCACTCCCTCATGTCTGCCCTGCAACTCTGAGAGCAGAGGCCATGTGGAGGCTGCGGGATACATGGGTGGGAGGGTGAATGGGTGACCTGGCCATTCCATACCGTGCTCTGTCCCCTCTCCCAAATGCCTAGTTTATGCTACAGTCTGAGGTCTGTCTGTGAGCAACTGCCAAGAGCCAGGGATTGGTGGTCTCAAGATATTCTTTCAGCCTTTTTTTTTTTTTCGAGACAGGGTTTCTCTGTGGCTTTGGAGCCTGTCCTGGAACTAGCTCTTGTAGACCAGGCTGGTCTCGAACTCACAGAGATCCACCTGCCTCTGCCTCCCAAGTGCTGGGATTAAAGGCGTGCACCACCACCGCCCGGCCTCTTTCAGCCTTTTTAATAGTGTTTTAAAACATACAGTGGAGTCCTTGAGGGCTGGCTAGGGGCCCACGGAGTCAGTCCATTTCACTAAAGGAAACAGTCCTCGGCTCAGCGCCCACCTCAAGAGCTGGTGGAGGCGTCTAGTAGTGAGTCACTCATCTGGTAGGTCTGATGAGTCTTCCCATCTACACTTTAGGTAAGTGGATGTCCTGAGAAGAGAAGGCCAGCTGGCCATCTGCCCAGAGCCCGCCCTCCCTAGAGAGACTTTGCTTGGTGAAGGCACTGTGGTTCATAGCAGTGCCTCCACTCTGATGACAAGAACACGGCAGTGTGTGTGTGTGTGTGTGTGTGTGAGAGAGAGAGAGAGAGAGAGAGAGAGAGAGAGAGAGAGAGAGAGTTTCCTCTGGAATGTCTTCATCACTTAAGTCTGCTGGTGGGAGCTGGAGAGATGGCGCCACAATTAAGAACATTCTCTGCTCTTCTGGAGGCCCAGACTCAATTTCTAGCACCTACATGGTGGCTCACAACTGTCTATTACTCTGGTGTCAGAGAGATCTGATGCTTTCTTCTGACCTGCATGGGCACTGGGCAAGTACATGGTGCATAGATATCCATGTAGGCAAAGCACTCACATACATTTAAACACCAAAATGATTGCCGATGAGTTTGGGCTTCAAGCTCCACAGATCCGGGACGATGCCCTTGCCCAACTAGGGGTCCACTTTCACAGCTCCCTAGGAACGCCCATACCTGGAGATTGGTGAGTGTCCCTTTCATCAGAGAGCCTGCACTATATCTACAAAAGTATGCTCCATGGAAGCACTGAGCCTGGGCAAAACTGCCTCTGTTTGGGCCACCTGCGTCAGACCTGTCTCTGCCTCTCTTTCCAAGGCTGAGCCACCTCCATCTGACAAGCACATCTGTCTATAGGTCTGTGACTATGCCATGCCCAGTGGTGCTGTGCCCATTTCAAAGATGGGGAAGTAGAGGTTCAGAAAGGTTGGGTATGCTTAACCATGTGTAGTTTATAGATGAACTAGAAACTTGAACTGAAAAGCTTCCTTTCCTCTGTCTACAGTGACTTTTTGCCTATTGCTGACCTCATGCCATGTTATAGTTTAACACAAATACTATTTACTGGAATTTAAGCTCCTTCCTCCTCCTCTCTCAAAGGTCAAGCAGTTGTTTGGCTCCTATCCCTTGCCTCCGGAGTCACCACTGTTGACATTCATTTTTGTTTCCCAAGAAGAAAAACCATACCCACTGCCTCCATGATGTCAAGGGCCTGAGGAGACAGCCTGAGGAAGCTGCGGGGCGGTCCAGAGCCTGTCCTGTGATCACTGGGATGGCAGGCCTATGCATATCCCAGGAGTTTCTAGCTCCAGGTCTTACTGGGTAGTGGTGCTAAGGGGTCCGAGTGTGGATAGCAGCACCTGAAACCTGAACAATTCCTCTGTCCCCTGTTAGTCCTGAGCAAGGTGCAGAACCCAGCAACCTGCACCTGCTCTGCCAATGTGCCATTACCCAACAGCTAACAGGAGGACACATGAGATCTCTGGGAGATGCCATTCTCGCCTTCAGGGCATCTTCTGTGTCTTCCTGAGAGGTTTGCTGTGTTCCCTTGAACTGCAGAGGGTGGAGGTGCACCCTAACCACCACCTGCAGCATCAGAGGAGGTGCTGGGCCACTAGACCCATCTAGCACTTCAGTCTTTCCTTCTCAGCCTTGTTTATGTTCTTCTTCCCATCGGTTTCATACTTAAACATTTCCTCTGCTCCATGAACTGTATCCAGTCAAGGATGGGACCACTATGCCTCTTGGTATCCTGTGTTTGGTGATGCAGTCATATAGTCATATAGGTCATTGTCTTCCAGTCATGAAGCCTGGAGGTATCTATCTGGGCTAGTCCATGGGCTCTACCAACGTCCCCTTCTCTCTCCCCTTCAGAAGCAAAGCCTAGGGCTGAGAGCTCGGAGGTGGATCAGGTAGAGCCTGCATCCCTCTGCCCCACTCATCTTCTACATAGTTATGAGTGCTTCTGAGGTTTGCCCGTCTTCTCCATCTCCTAGGAGCAAACATAAGCAAAGATCTGTGGCCAGGGTAACAAAAGACCCTGAGGCCTGAGAGACTCCATGCCCATAACTGCCAGTGCATACTGGCCCCTGGAAGATGTGGAAACAGCTGTTAGTCATGGTCCCAGGCCTAGGCATGTGGTTCCCAAGAAAACTGGCCAGATGCCAGGCCGTTAGATAAAAGTACTGAGGGCTCTAGTCTCTCAATGAAAAAGAGTCTGCAGGTGTCCAGCTTCTGGGCTGTTCTGGACTGATCTGGGTTGCATTAGGAGACTGCATATCTGACTACCCCAGGGCCCGACCCATCTACTAGGACCCCTCCACGGCCTGCCTCCCTCATCTGTCTCTTATTTCCTACAGAGATTGTCCTCTCACTTCTGGAGAAGATGCAGACCCAGGAGATCCTGAGGATCCTGCGGCTGCCCGAGCTAGGGGACTTGGGCCAATTTTTCCGCAGCCTCTCAGCCACCACCCTCGTGAGTATGGGTGCTCTGGCAGCCATCCTCGCCTACTGGCTCGCTCACCGGCCAAAGGCCTTGCAACCGCCATGCAACCTCCTGATGCAGTCCGAAGAAGTGGAGGTGAGCAGAGCGGGAACTGGCCCATCATTCAAAGTAGCTCCAGATGGTAGAAGCCAAACCTGGAACTCGTTTGACCCCAAGTGGCCCAAAGACTACTAGTGTCCCCTGGTAACCAGCCAGCATGTTATGCAGCAGCCTTGGGCAAGGTCTCCAGCAAGGTGGTCCTCAAACCCCCGCAACATCAAAAGAGGTGCTGGCACGACTAGACCCATCTAGCACTTTGAGTCCTTTGTATCTTAGCCTTTTTTATTTTCCTCTTCCCATCAGTTTAATACTTGAGCATTTCCCTCTGCTCCATTAATTGTATGGACCATAGGCAGAGCCTGGTCAACCACGGGCTAAGCGGTCCTCAGAGACTGTGGGGTAAATTTACTTCAAGTTCCTGACTCCAGTCCTGGCTGACAGGAAACAGAGCTGAGCTCATCCCAGGACCGTGCCTCATCACAGAACCTAGGCTCACAAGGAGGCTAGCAGCAGGGAAGAAGATTCACTGACTTGCCGACAAGGGACTGATGAGATATGCTTCTCCAAACTTATGGATTTTGTTGTTTGTCTTTTTATTTTTTAAAGATTTATTTATTTTTATATGCATTGGTGTTTTGCCTGCATGAATGTCTGTGTGAGGGCACCAGATCCCCTGGAACTGTTGTTACAAACAGTTGTGAGCTGCCATGTGAGAACTGGGAATTGAATCCAGGTCCTTTGGAAGAACAACCACTGAGCCATCTCTCCAGCCCTTTTTGTTTGTTTGTTTGTTTTTGTTTGTTTGATTGATTGATTTTTCTTTTAATTCTGCCTGTGTTCTAACCTTTAGTGTGCATTCCCATGAATAGTATGCTCATATAATTCATAAGAAACGAAAGGCCACATGCTGAGAAACTTCTGCCTCCTGCTTCTGAACTTTCGGTTCTGTGAACAGTTCTGTCCCAGCCAGGAGCAAACGGAGAGAGTTCCCCACACCTAGCTTTTGTGGTTGGTTTGTTGCTTGCTTGCTTGCTTTTCTCTAGACATGGTCTCATGTAACCTGGACTAGCCTCAAACCCCTAATCCTCCTGCCTCTGCTTCCCCCAGTGCTAGGATTACAGGTGTGCATCACCACACCCAGCTCCCCAGTTTTAAATGAGCTCATGCTACACATGCTTGTGAACCTCACTTGATCATACATGTCAGTGACCACCAGCCTGGCAATGTTTCACCAGCTGGGAAGGGCACGGATCCTTGTCTAACAGGGATCTGGATTCTTGGGCTATCTTCCTAGTGGAAGGACTGATGTGTGTGAAAGCCCAGGTATGCTTGAAAGAGTGTGGCATTGGGAGGTGGTGGTTTGTGTTTGGTGCTGAGCAGCTGGAGATGGTCTGGAAAAGGCCCGCAGGATGGTGATGAGAAGGGAGAACAGAAATCCTAGGCAGGAGGCCTGGCAGTGCCTTCCTAAGCTATGTAGTTCTTGGTTGGGACCCAGCATGTCACTGAGTCCTCCTTTGTAAACTGGGTACTCAAAAGAGGGCCAGTGAGCTGATGGGGTGGTGCAGAGAAACTGTCAGGAGTAGCTGAACATCGTGGAATTATTGGGGACTTTCAGTAGAGAGATGCAGCTTGTTTGTGCTGTAGAAGGGTGGTGGCTGCCGAGCAGGGAGGAGGAGACAGCTCGGGGCTCCTGGGTTGGGTGATAGTGACCTGGTGGGCCTCAGCATGGTGGAAGGGATGACTGCAGTTCAGTCTGCAAACCTATAGAACGGGTGACCGTGCAGATCCCACTGAAAGGGCAGGGTGCCACCCTTTCAGAGAAGGGTTCTCTGTCCCTGTCCATCAGGAACATATGAGTGGTGACAGGGGCAAGAAATGAGGTAAGAGAAGCAAGCACTCTGGTACTTCTTGGAACACACAAAATTCAGACCATTTTACTTCCCTGTCTTAAAACCTGTCTCTGGTTGGCTAATGCCCTCATCCCCCACTCCTGGGTTTGCGGCCCTCTCTAGACCGTTCTCACCTTAATCCATCTAGAGTCCCATAGATTACCCACAGTTCCTCAGCACCCTGTGCTCCTGTGCCGTGAGTGTGTGCTTGCTACCGCCTGCTGTACATTCTGCCTGGCCAACCCCTCTGCATCCATTAAACTCCAGCCAGGTGTCCCTGCCCAAAACACAAGCACCGCCCCCTCCCCCAGTCCCTGGCACAGTCTCTTGCAGTGTCACCTCTGATGCCCAGGTATCAAGTGGGTCTGATTGCATGTACCCCTAACTTCCCAGGTCAGTCTTTCCCAGGCAATACTGGCCAAGAAGAACTTTCCACTCCAAACAGCTGAGAGCTGCCTGTGGTTTTGCATTTGGCTGTTTGTTCTGCGACGCTAATTTTTTCTCCAGACTCAATGTTCCAAGAACTGGCCGGCTCTGGGCCATCCCAGGATAACCCAAATAGCACTGAGAGATCAGGCAGAGCTGTGGCACAGAAGAACTCGGGGCTTGGGGGCCCTGGGTAGGAGGAAGGCACCAACACCTAACTCTTGTCCCTGGCCCCAGTACAGAGGGCCTTTGCTTTGTCCCTCTCTGGATCAGCATGGCTGAGGGCCCAGGATCTTGCTGCCTGGTGTGTTCTTTCACGCACTCTTAGGCTTCAGTCCTGGGAAAGTACCTTAGAGCACTCTCCTCAGGAATCCGTGCTAGCATGCTAGCGATGGATGCCAACCTTCTTAGCTCAAGGCTATACACAGCTGACCTAGGGCATAGCAATGGCTGCTGGGCGCAGGGTACCTTGGCAGGTTGATCCTATATCTAAGTGATAACGGACTCCATTCTATTATGGAACCAAATCTTAAGAGTTCCTGATAATTGTGGACATTCTGTGTACACTAATCTGGTATACAAAGGCTGTGTGCTTCTTTAGGAGTGTATATATGTGAGACTCTGTTAAACTGGGCCTGTATGTAGTAACTAGTTATGTTGTACGTATATGCATACAGACTGGGTGTGTATGCTCTCTGCTTGAACAGGCCACGAATATGAGCACTTTCAAGTCTCAACTATGTGAACCAGGAATGCATCCAAGCTATGTTCACGCCAGGGCCTATTCCTGATGTCCCTGCTCACCTCAACTTGTCTGGTGTGTCTGACTTCTAGGACAGTGGTGGAGCCCGGCGATCTGTGATTGGAGGGAGCACGCAGCTGCTCACCCACTACTATGACGATGCCCGGACCATGTACCAGGTGTTCCGCCGTGGGCTTAGTATCTCAGGTGAGGAGTGTTTGGAGACTTGTATCAGGCATTGAACAGGCTTCTAGCATGCTACTAGGGACACAGTAATGCCCAGGTCAGCAGAGAGTCTTTCCACCACTTAGAGAGGCAGCTGACTGCCTGAAGTGGGGCCTACTCTGTACACCCCTATGGGCAGCCCCTAGGGAGTCTACTGTAATACTGTCAACCATGGCTTGAAACCTGTACCCCTGAGACGCCTCAATAGTCCCAGGGTATGAGTCAAAGGGAGACGGTCATAGAAGGCTATCCTGCTCCCTCCCCCCACTGGCCTCCCCAAGAGTAAGTACCCTCTTAGTTCTCCCATTGGAACTATCACATAAATCACAGTAGGAGCTGGCTACCATGCTATCCCACCCACATCCCCCCAGATCCCCAGGGAAAAGCTGTTCTTGCATTCTCATGATCTTCTTGGGCCACAAGCAGATGAGACAAACCGCTCAAGGAAAGTCTCCTGGACCCAGAGGCTCCCACAGCATGGGATTTCCACCTTGCGCTTGCTGGATGGGGGCAGCTGAGTCCACCTGTTCTCCCCCTGACACAAGGCCACTTGTCTCTCTGCAGGGAATGGGCCCTGTCTTGGCTTCCGGAAGCCAAAGCAGCCTTACCAGTGGCTTTCCTACCAGGAGGTGAGTGAGAGCACAGGCCCCACCTGTCCAGCCCTGCAGGCATGGTACCCTGTTGGGTTAGGGGAAGCCTAGGTGTAGCCAGCAGGTCCCAGGAGCCACATTTCTTAAAATTAGTCTTTACATTGAAAAGATATATATATTATAGAATATAATATGAAGATAGAACAGTGTGAATTCAGTGTCTGGTTTATCTGAACAGGTAGGTATGAGAAAACTGCTTAGAAAACATACATAGTGACAGTCAGTTCAGGTGTTATCTGTGGTAAAAGGAAATCTTTTGAATGTGGTAAAAAAATTAAATGAAGCCATAAAAGTAAAATAAACAAAATAAAATCTACAAATACGTGTGTGATATTAAAGTCTTCTTATTCAAAATCTTTGGAGAAGTCTATTCCACTAAAAATTGTGCCCATTTGAAGCCTGATACATAATGTCTGCAAGAGCCTTGCTCTTTTATTCTCACAATTATTTTAAATTCTTTGATGGTGTCATGATGTATATAATGTATCTGAGTTCCTTTTGCCTCCCATCACCTCCTCCTTGAACTCCTTCCTGACAAGTCCTGCTCCTACCCTCTTGTCTGTCTGGTTTTTGTAACCCACTGAGTTTCAGTAGGCTTGCTTACATGGGAATGAGTAGGGGGTTAGTTATAGGAACAGGAGCAACTTATCAGTGTCTACACCACTGAAGAATATGACCCCACCCTATCCCCAGCCATTGACGTTGGGCATCCCCAGGGGACAGGTAGGCTTCATGAGCCTCTCCCACATCTGCAATGGAATATTGACAAGCCAGAAGGATCACTTTTTACTGTTTCCCCCCAGTGTTCCCACCTAATTCCTCTCCTTAGCCTCTAGAGGCTTTCTGCATGCCTGAGTGGGGAGCCCAGAAGCTCAGACAGATGTGGGAAAGCTGTGTGGACAAGCCCCATTGAAACCTCCTCATTTCTCCATCCCGACCCCACCCACACCCATCTGTGTGCAGGTGGCCAACAGAGCTGAATTTCTGGGGTCAGGACTTCTCCAGCATGACTGTAAAGTGGGCACGGAGCAGTTCATTGGTGTTTTCGCACAGAATCGTCCAGAGGTGAGTGTGGTCTGACTGCTTTCAGAGGCATCAGTAGACTAGGGAACTGAAATCCTGTTTCCACTCTTGGTAGGGCCTGGGGTCTGACAAAGAATGGAGACCTAGGGCCATGGCACTACCACCTACATCCCCAGCTCCCAGGCTCCATCCACATTGTACTTGGAGCCACCGGGGAGGAAAAGTCATGATAAAGAGGCCTAGGCAGGGTCAGGCAGTGGACTTGGGCTGTTTGGACATGAAATCTGGAGGTTGCATACTAGCATAGCAAGCATGGTCTAGAGGTCTTTGGGCTAGCCTCAGCACACACTGACTTACTGGACTTATCTCTTTCCCCCAACCCGAACTTTGCATTTCTATAGTGGATCATTGCAGAGCTGGCCTGCTACACATATTCCATGGTGGTAGTCCCCCTCTATGACACACTGGGTCCAGGGGCTATTCGCTACATCATCAATACAGGTGAGCCCCCACTCTCATTCCCTCCTGAATAAGCAACTAGCCCTCATCCTCCAACCTCTTAAGTCGTAATGATTGTTAGGCGTTCATTTTACCTCAGTTCTCAGGAAACACTAAGGTCTTAGCCAGATACCATGGAAAATGTCTGACTGAGATCCCAGCACTTGGAAAGCTGGAGGAGGAGGGTCAGAAGTTCAAAGCCATCCTCTGTTGCATAGCCAGTTGGGGACCAGCCCACAATTCAAAAACAAAACAAAACAAAAAAACTAGGGGACTTACATGATGGCCCCTGACTTGTTCTCCTGATCTAAACTGTCCTGAAGCCTCCTCTCATAGGTCTGTGGTGCCATGACAGACCGTCTAAGAGACTGTGGCCATGTGATGTTACTACAGCTTGGCATGGTGGTAAATATCCCAGACAGAGCTGGACTCATGGGGGACTGTCTGGAGGAAAACTGGCCTATCTGCTGCAGAATGCTTTTGCCTAAAAGCCTTTGCCCTTGACTCTTCGTAGCACTAATGGTACACGTGATGCACGACCCTCACGGCCTGTTGTACACATTCATTTACACACAGGCTGGTATAGTGGCCTGTTGCGGCCTCCTCAGTCCCAGCCTGCACCTGCTCAGCCTGACTCTCCCCTTTGGCCTCTGCAGCGGACATCTGCACGGTGATTGTGGATAAACCTCAGAAGGCCGTACTTCTGCTGGAGCATGTGGAGAAGAAGGAGACTCCGGGGCTCAAGCTGATCATCCTCATGGAACCATTTGAGGATGCCCTGAAAGAGAGAGGGCAGAAGTGTGGGGTGGACATCAAATCTATGCAGGCCATAGAGGTGAGAATCCGCATCTAGGATGTTTGCTGGGTTAGAGCTGGCTGGCTGCCAATCACAGCATTGGCCCACCCACCCCTCTCATGCCTTACGGTGTCTGTTTTGGGCCCTTCAGGTGCATCAATGGCACGACAAGGCAGACTTTGCAAGGACTAGGGGAGGGAGACCCGGAATCAGTGTTTATAGACACCCTCTAGATTGACTCTGAGGCGGGCCCAACCAGTGGCCCCAGGCACCAAGAGCTGGATGATGGCTCCAGCAGGAGGGGCACTCACATGGCATCTAGAGCTTTCTCACTTGTAGAAGGTGTAAACTTGTGGTCCAGGAACCTGGGAAGGTTCTCGTCAATAGGAACCAGACCCACTCAGCAGTCCATGGAATAAATTTTCTGTACATGGCCACCCCAGAGGCATCAGCGTGGTGGCAATGAATAGGTTAATAGACTGATGCAAGGCCTCCTGGCCTCCTGGACCTCAGGTTTGCTCCGTAACTGTTAACCTCTACCATGCTGTAAGAGGGGCACACCCTCAAAACCCCCCAGATGTCCTCATGCCTCTGTCTGTCCTTCCCTGCCCCCATGACCCTGTGCACTTGTAAGCCTTTGTGACATTAGCCACACCTGCACTGGCAGCCCCTCTCCTTACCTCCTCACTGCCCCACCCCCAGCACTGACTGATCATCCAGAAACCTCAGTCATTCAGCCATTCTCTTGTGTACATTTCCCAATATGTCCAAAACTAAGTGATATATGTATGGTGCCTGGCTTCTCCTGAGTAACAGACTCTTTGTCTGTAGCATATGGGGCAGGTCTGCGACCCCTCAGCATCCTCCCTTTTTCCCAGGAGCCTCAGGCTAGAATATGTATGAGGAAGGACCGCTAAAGTGGCCTTTGTCACCGCAGTCCATGTCCAGGCAGGGATCCTAAGCCCTGGGCTTGGCGTAAGAGCAAGGCCTACTGTGGTGAGTGATCTTGACTTTTTGAATTTTTTAATCACTTTCGAACATTTTAAAAATAGTATTTTCTTTTTTCAGGACTGTGGCCAAGAGAATCTCCATGCCCCCGTGGTAAGCTAATCTCCCAGCAGGCATTGGTGAGCAAGATAATGAGTAAGACAGGTTCTCTTGGAGCCCTCGCTGAACAGGGCTGGAGAGAGAGGCCAAGGAGTACCTACCTCCATGTCAATAAGCAGCTCCTGTGAGCAGCCCAGCAGTGCTTACCCCGCTGCCCAACACTGCTGCGGGTTGAGAGCCCAGGAGAGGACTGAGGACAGGAATCAGATGTCGGGAGAGAGACAAAAGGACATCCAGTCCCTGCCACCCTTGGCGCTCTTGTAACGTTTTCATAGGGAGGTCTTGTTTTCCTTTATCTCCCTTGAATGTTATGAAGCCTACAGAGCATAAGATGGATAGAAGCATTCAAGATCTAGAAGTGAACCTCATGGCCCAGGAGCCGTTGGCATCATCTGTGTGTGTGCGTGTGTGTATGCGTGCGTGCGTGCGTGCGTCTGTGTATGCGTGCGTGCGTGCGTGCGTGCGTGTGTGTGTGCATATTCGTGTTTATATGTATACAGGTGTTTATACAGGTGTATGTGAGGGTATGTGGAGGCCCAACATCAGCCTCAACTAATTTTCCTCAGGCACTGTTCTTTAAGACAGGGCCTCTCAACAGGCCTGGACCTTGCCAAGTGGGCAAGGCTGGCCAGCCAGGAAACCCCTTCAGTTTCATGGTCTCTGCCTCCAAGCGCTGAGATAACAAGCATGAGCCACCACTCTGGAGTTTTCTTTGTTCATTTTTATTCTTTGAACTTTTCTGAGTGCCATCCTATGTGGTCCCACCAAAGGTCAGGTAGTAATGACCATCTCTGCCTTCTGAACTGGGCATTGAAGGGAGAAGCTCAGGTTTCTCACAAGGACTCTGGTTTCTAGGCCTCCCCCTGCTCAGTCTTTCTCACTCCCTTGCCACCTCTGATGAGCAGAGCAAGTCATAGCTCTACTTCCTAGAGCCCTCCATGTATAATCCTGGGTCCTTTTACATCTCTGTTGTGCCAGACTCTGCCTCCAAGAAGTGCTGCATGAGTCTTGAGCATGCCCCGTGTCCAGCACCACAGCTTCTGTGCCCAGACAGGTCCCCTCCCCGAAGCCCCCTCGCTTTTACCCATCACTTCACAGGCTACCTCTTTAGAAAGCTGTTCCCTGCATGCCCATGGACTAGGTCGACTCCTCCTAGTGGCCCAGGACCATGGGCCCCTTCAGCCAGGGCCTGATGCAGAGCTTGGGGTGCTTTAAACAGCTAAACAGCAAGCCAGGCCTACTAGAAAGGAAGGGTCTTTGGCTTCAGCAGCCCAACCCCATGCAGTACTCTGCTCAGGCTGGGGTAGGGAAAATGGGACCAGGAATGAGGTTGGTAGGACAAGCGGGTGTCCACGTACTATATTTCTTTCCTCGTTCTTGGGAGCTTGCCTGCCCATCTTTCCCACGGTAGCACACAGAAGTGTGTAACATGCCCAGCACATCACTCACTGTAGTACATGCGTGGGCCTGGGTGGTAAAGGGGTCCCACTGGTTCTCCCCAATACCCATCTCTTCTCTTTCCCGCAGCCCCCACGTCCTGATGACCTCTCCATTGTGTGCTTCACCAGCGGCACAACAGGTAAGCAGAGGCCCAGACCCTCGGTCGTGAGTGCTTGTCTCTGCTCCCGGCTGCCTGGAAGGAGACTTTGGGGGTCTCTCGTGCTCTCTGTGGTGTGGACTGAGTCTCATCCTGGTCCTGGTCCTGCTCAGTTACTGTTGTTGGCTGCCTTCTGCTTCTGCCGTTAGCCATGCTGGGCAAGGCAGGGCTGGCCAGATGTAGACAGGCAATGAGGGGACTCAGCACCTTCTACATCTGAGACAAAGGAGTCTAGGCAGCTGGATCAAAAGCTGGAGAGTGTCCTCTGCTCGTGGAGTCATTTCTTATGAGAAATAGTTCTCCCCTCTGTTTTCTGCTTCTGCCTGGCCTTTGTGTCAGAGACCAGGGGAGGAGTATGGGCTTAAAACCCCATCTCTACCACTGGATAGAGAACCAAGTCAACCACTTAAGCCCTCTGCTGTCACTGTCCCCATGTCCTCACCTGGGAGGAGGTGGTTAAAGGTGTCAATTAAGATGGGGGTGGGATGTACAAGGACAACCATGGGCAAGATTGTCAGGAAGAAGGCATGAGCAGAAATGACTGTGTCTGGTGCTGAGCAAGGGGTATACCAGCAAGAATAATCTGGAAATGCTTCCTGGAGAAGGGACAGATCCAGCACTTTACAGTCTACAGAGCCCTGTCCCAGCTTTCACTATGCCCCTCAGCACAGTCTGTGAGGCTAGCAGGCTTGAGAGCAAATCCGCTCCGAGAGACACCGGGACCAGCATCCTGCGCTTCCATCCGTTCTCCCAGCACCCATCTCATTGCTGCCTCCTCATCTGATGACAGAGGAAATGTCCTGGTTACTTCCTGTGGCACTGATAAAACACCATGACCGAGGCAACATACAGAAGCAAGGGCTCATTGAGGCTTGTGGCTCCAAAGGGTTATACTCCATGATGGTGGAGTTGGACAACATGGCAACAGGCGGCAGACATGGTGGACTGGAGCTGGATGCTGAGGTCTGGAAACTCACACCTCAAACTGCAAGCAAGAAGCAGGGAAAGCAAACTAGAGATGGCATGAGTCTTTAAACTCTCAAAGCCTACTCCCAGGGGCATACTTCCTCCAGCAAGGCCGTGCCTCCCCAGCCACCCAAACGGTGCCACAGGTGGGGAACAAGCATTGAAATGCCTGAGACTATAGGAGGCATTCATTCAAACTATCACAGGAAGTTACTTGCTTCACCTTGAATGGACAAGAAGTTCCCAGCAATCACTTCAAGACCAAGGGTTGACCAGCCTGATGATAGTTGTCAGTGGGCAGTGACCTGGGATCCCTGAACTTTTCAAAGGAACAGCTTACACAGCATTTGAGAGACCCAGGACCAGCCACATCAATGGATTATGCATGGCAGTAGATCATGATGGGTATGACTTTATCAGCTATGGGATGGGGGTGGATTCTTGGCCTTTAACTCAAACAGGTTTAAAGATTGTTTTTTAAAACTTTTACGGCTGGGCGGTGATGGCACATGCCTTTAATCCCAGCACTTTAATACCAGGAGGCAGAGGCAGGCGGATCTCTGTGAGTTCGAGGCCATCCTGGTCTACAAGAGCTAGTTCCAGGACAGGCTCTAAAACTACAGAGAAACCCTGTCTCGAAAAAACAAACAAACAAACAAACTTTATTTTACTAAATCATTTAGAAAAGTAACACAGCCCCCGCTCTCCAGAGCCAACCCAGAATTTTTAAAGTGCCCCTCAGGCTTATGTTGCTTTTAAAATAGCACCTCCTGAAATCTTCTGGGTGTTGAGTTTCATAGCATAATTTTTTTTTTGATGACATGGATTGGGGAATAAGTCGCTGCTGTGGCTTTTAGCTTGGACCTCCTCGACCTCCCAGAGTAACTTCAGTAGTTCACTCGGTCAATGCCGCAGCTCCTTTATCTGGAGAAGTATTCCGTGCTGTTGAAACACGCTGCTGGCCAGCTGGAAGGCACAGCTGTCCCACCTAGTGCCTTCCGTACTGTGGACTCACATGGAGACCAGGCTGGCCTTACCTATCTGTTCAGAGGGGCAGCATGCACGGGGCTGGAAAACTGCTCGGCCATCTTCTTTAAAGCCATGGCAGGTGCCAGGCAGGTCTGAGAGAGCAAGCAGGCCTTTGGCCCAAAATCATCTGGCTGGACCACATACTTGGACTTCCTCGGATTTAGGCTAAGCCTGTGTTGTGCCTCTTACATTCATCCTCTTGTCAGCATGTCGGTCACACTTGTTCCTGATGTCACAGCATGTGGAATGTCTGGTCGTCAGCATTGATGGTGGGGAAACGTGAAAACTATGACCTGACACTGACTTTTGGCACCTTCTAGCCTGAGGAGGGACTGTCCTGAAATCAGTCAGGCCAGAGAAGAACAGAATCAGTCGGCACCGTCTGGAGCCAGGTTGTACACAATCACTGTGAAAATACCGGCTGGTGCTCGGGGAGACAACTCAGCATTCTTGCTATTGCCTTGACAACTCAGCATTCTTGCTATTGCCTTGGAATCACATGACCTCTCTTCAGACTCGGTTTCCATAGATAGTAAATGAATAATACAATTATTTATTGGCTTCTGAGTGGGAACCAAGAAATTGACAGTGGCTATCACTGAGACGTTGACCTGGGTGGCAGAGCCTCTCACTGTCTGTACCAGCAACCAAGACAGCTACAGGAAAACCTGCATCTTGGTTCTGCAAACTGATTGCTCATAGCTCTGTCTAGGATGATTTTTGTCCTCCACATGAGCAACCAGAAAACTTTCTACATCCAGTTTACAGGACATGCTGCTGGAGGTGTAGATTTGTCCTGAATCTGCACAGCTGATGGAGCCTTCCTGAAGGCTCTCCTCACACTTCCCAAGAGAACTTTTGTTCTCAGCTTCTAGACTCTGACCAACATTCGCTTCTCCTTCAGCCTTTGAGCAATGTGTAGAGATGACTTGTGGAAATAATCTGAACATTTCCGGGAATATTTTAAGAGTCCTGTAGGCCATTTATAAAGTGACATTTGAATCTGCAAGAATATTTGTGCTTCAGAAAGGTCTGAACTTTGGCATTACACTGGAGTAGAAACGGGCGCAGAATGGAGAACTGCCAAGGCCATCAGTGTCAGGCCTCAGCTGAGAGGGCTGTGGGGATTTCTGCCCTGAGTTTATGCTAGTCATGCGTGCAAGCCAGCCCCTCCAACAACTTCGGCACCAGGTCCTATTTTGTGACAGCTCTGTCTGTGACTCGTATCTGGAGAATGATCCTTAGAAACTTCCAGTGGGAAGGTGAAAATTTCCAGGTGACTCTTGGAGTACTTTAAGCACCCCAGGCTTCTGTAGGATGTGAATCTTGAGGGTCAGAGAGGAGAAATAACATAGGCTCAGGCCTGACAGAGCACTGGAATAGAGAGCCAGGCACTGGTAAGGCAGATCCTCTGCGTCTTTCTCTTTTCAGAAGGAAGACATTTTGACAACTACCTATTAGGAAAAAAAAATCACTTTTCAAATAACACAAGCTTCTATGTCCCCCAGAACCAAATCTGGTGTTGGCATCATGGATGAAAGCACCAGCGTGCAGGCTGAGGCCTCACTCATCACTCGTCCTATGCAGAGGAACGCCTCCATCACTTGAATTAAAAGATGAGGCTTTGACTGATGCCAAGTGGGTCACCTGCAAGATGAGCAAGCAGGCCTCAGGGGATATAATTATGAAAAAGAGTTTATTTTTATCTCCGTTACCAAATTCCACGTGATCGAGGAGGGAAGCTCTCTCTCTCTCCCTCTCTCTCTCTCTCTCTCTCTCTCTCTCTCTCTCTTTCTCTCTCTGACCCTGGATAAACGTCTTCCTGGTCACTATTGGTTAATAAAGTATCCCATGGTCTCTGCAAGTCACAGAGGCTTAATTCAGAAACACAGTGGCAGTTTGAGCTGTGGCTTCGGCATGGGAACCCAATCCCCCATCCTTCTCCCCTCTCTGCTTCTCCTGCTTCCCAACTTTGCTAGTGGGGGCTCCACCTTCTCCCACCAGGTTTGACCCGGGGGATCAAGAACAAGGAAGTGGGTTGTGGAAGTTGGGAGATGGTTGAGGGAAAACATTGAAACACCTATGCTTTCAATGATGGATAGTGTTCTGAGTTCTGATGTAGGCAGTACCGTTCCCGGGCTACCTGAGCCCTCCTTCACCAGGGCTCCTAACTCTGTCTGCACCAATTCTCTCCTTGGTGTTATGGGGAGGTTGCATTTCTCATTGATTGACAAGATACCTGGTAGAACAACTTGATGAACAGGTTCCTTCTAAGACAGCATCCTCTCAGGCTGACTCCTGACTGTAGACTGCCTCCTGCCTCTGGGGTTCTTTACTTGTTTGAAGTTACTGGGGCCTCTTCTGGCTTCTCATTGGGTTCCGTAGGTCCTTTTAGCATCTGTATGAGCTCAGGTTTCAGATTAGAACTGAGAGAGATGACTCAGTATAACCCTCTCCAAAGAAATCCTCCTCACAGATTCTGTTTCTTTCTCTCCATTTTTTCCCTTTTTGAGGCAAAATTCACATGAAATGTAAAATTAGAAGCCTCTTTTCAAGACAGAGTTTCAGTCTATAGTCCAGGCCTTAACTCACAAAAATTCTTCTGCCTCAGCCTTTGGAGAACTGAGATTACAAATGCGTAGGGGTTGGGTGGGTACACACATGTCACAGTGTGCCATGCTACAGTATATATGTGGAGGTCAAAGGGTAACTTTCCACCTCCTAATCAGTGTTCCTTCTTGCCTTCTGTTTTCAGGGAACCCCAAAGGTGCCATGCTCACCCATGGAAACGTGGTGGCTGACTTCTCAGGCTTCCTGAAAGTGACCGAGGTGAATAAAGTAAACTTCCCGTGCAACTATTTCTGGAGGGGACACTTCAAGTTGGCCTGGCAGGGTGTCCAGGCTTTTGATACTACCATAGGACACTCTCGTCTTCAAATGCATTGGCCATATTCTCAATTAGCCTACGATGCCTGCAGTGAGAGGACCCAGGGTTGGATGTGCTCAGAGTTGTGTTTGGTGCTGTCATTCTTTTAGGGTTTGGGCAATGCTTGCAGGCAGGAGTTTCTGTCCTCATCGGACACCTTTCACAACCACTTTTTAATCCCTAACACTATTTTGTCGGGAGGAGGGATTGGGGTCTCACTATGTATTCCAGGCTGGCCTCAAATATCTGATCCTCCTGCCTCAGTTTCCCAGATGCTGGGATTACAAGCATGAGCCATCAGACCAGCTTTCAACCCCAATGCCAAAATGACCCTCCCCCCAACATTCACTTAATATCTAAAAGCTCCAGGAGCCCAGGGTGGGGGTGGGGAGCATGCAAACCTGCTTTTGTTGTTTTATTTTTTTTTTCTTCACTTCAAAAATGAGCTCTTGAGCTCCTGTGTGTGCCTTTGTTTGGAGAGTAAGCCTCACTGACTTGCTTCTCATGCAGGCCAGGGTTTGATTTGGTGATTTTGTGTCTAAGGACTACTAGAGTCTGAGACACAGCGACAGCTGCTAACTGTCAGGCTGTGCTCAAAGGCAGCTGTAAAGCCCACCCAGCTTGCTTTCTTGGTCTGACCAAAGCACCTTAGTGTTTATAACCAGCTCAGACAGGAGGAGCTGTCCCGAGTGCATTGCGGTGAGTATGTGCCACAGCTTCCTTCAGGAGAAAGGACGGCAGGCCCTTTCTCCCCCATGGAAACAATCTCTCTCTCCGAGTGTGTACCACAGGGTACTGGGAGCCTAGACTCCAAACCCTGAGATGATTTGGTGGGAAACCGAGGCATGGTTGCTGGTTGAGATCAGGTTCTAAGCCATGATTCAGGATCCCAAAGTTTGTCCACATTAGTTCAGAAGGCAAAAGGGAGTAAAGACTTCTATGACAAGACAAAGAGCAGTTAGGATCCACTAAGGAAACTTCCACCCTTTGCTGACAGAACAGCCTGTGTCTCTGGGATCAGTCCCATCTGAGACAGCTGCGGGCTAGTGCCCAGCTGATGCATTCTCCTTTAAGGAAGGCCCTGCTTCCTAGCTGTGACCCCGGAGTCTGTGTCTGGCCACCTGTTTGTGGTTTGGCCCGTTCTCCTCTGTCACCGCCCAAAACTCAGCCCAGCTGGCACAGATGAGATGAAGGACTCTCTGAGCCATTTCCTCTACAAGAAAGGCCTAGAAAATGCCATGGAGTCAAAACTGGTCTCTGCTCGGTGGCCCAGGGAGACCATGGCAGATGTTTCAGGAAGGATGGGGATGAGAGAGTCAGGCTGGCGCCACCACCGACAGACAGACTGCAAGCGAGGTGCAGGCCGTCCTGAGAGGAGACTTCCCTGCGGAGCCTGGCTCTGCTGGTTTATGTGTGCTTCATGTGGCTCTTTGCTTCTGCAGATAACCTACACCCACTGGCGCTGCGACCTAACACTTCGCTTCCTATGCTGCCTCTCTCTCTCTCTCCCTCTTTCTCTCTCTCTCTCCCCCTTCCTACCTCCCTCTTCTCCCTCCCCCTCTCTCCTTTCTCCCTCCACCTTCCCTCCCCACCCCCTCCTTTCATCATTTTTCCCTCTCATCTCACCTCTCTCTGTCCTCCCTCTCCCCCTCCCCCACTTCCTGTCCACCCCTCCCCCCAGGACCATTTTTCTCTTTATTGTTTTATGACTCTCTCGTTGTCTTCCTGTCAGTGTTTCTTTCCTTTCTGTCTCCCATGCCCGTCACCTGCAGAAAGTGATCTTTCCGAGACAGGACGATGTGCTCATCTCCTTCCTGCCTCTGGCTCACATGTTTGAGAGAGTGATCCAGGTAAGACTTCTGCCTGCCTGACCGGGACTTGCCTGGGCTCCTTGTGTTTTCTTGCAGAGTCAGTGGGCTCCCACTTGTGCGGATGTGCACTTTTCCTATTTGCCTTTAGCACACATGTTTGAGCGAATGGTGCAGGTAAGGCCCTGGCGTCAGGGAGGCACCCTCTGTGCCCTGAACCTTCACTTAGAGCAAGGCATCACTCGTCACTGCCGGTGTGAAGTAGGACTCAATACTCCATCTTTAGAATGTAACGCAAGGGGCCAGAGGGATCCGAGGACCTTGACCTCTCCACCTGTCCTTCCTAGGTGCAGTTCCTCCGGAAGCACCCAGACACGCCTCAGCTGGCCGAGGGCCTGGCTGGCGGTGTCAGCTGCAAGAGCATTTTACAGATTTACAGAAGTACTCTGTGACAGGCAACACGCTTGTGTTCCATGACGCGAAAGCTCCTATAAGGCAGAACAAAGCAGTAAAATTGTGGCATTGTCATGGCTCCAGGGGCTGTAGACCGGGACTGTGTAAGAATGGCCCTGAGACAGACCTGGTGAGAGCAGAGCCAGCAAAGGCAGGAATCCATCTAGGAAGGTGAGGTTAGAGACTTTCCCATGCACATATCACTCAAAGGAGCAGCCTGTGAATAAAATACATCTTTCAAGTATATTTCTACTTCGTCTAGAGGAGAGATCTGCTATCGTGGGGCTTGCTTTCCCCTCTCTGGGCCTGGATTAGATTGCCAGACATTCTAATGTCAACTCGTTTTATCCAACTGAGCCAGTCATTTTACCTCTCCAAGCTTTGCATTCCTCTCCCACAAATGATCGCACGGAGCATGCTGCCTTCCTTAAAAGGCTGTCCTGGGTGTTACAAAACAGAACACATGTAAGGGCCCTGTGTGTGCTTCTGGCCCCATAGGAACCAGCCAGGAGCCCCTGATCTCCCGCCAAGGCTAGTGCCCGAGGAGACAGATGTCCCTGGGAAATCTACGACCCCTCTAGGGAGCTGGAGCAGACCCTTTTATAGAGTGCGGATAGCAGAACATTTCACAGAGCTGAGTCTCCAGCGTGGGAGCAGGGTGGCTGCAACAGGGCAGGCGCCACCAAGAATGGCTCCTTCAGCAATTGTCACCCGGCCTTCTCCCCGGCCTTTACCCCAGGCCTGGCTGGGACTTAGTGTGAAGGTTGTAGGTGGGTGGGTCACTCCCTGCACTCTTCACCGTCTTACGGCAGCAGCCAGGGTTGGATGGGGTCTTAGAAACTTGATAGCTCTGGACTGCAGCCAGGAGTGCCCACCCTAAGTAATTCCCACATTCTTGTCCTCTCCCTTCAGTCTGTTGTCTACTGCCATGGAGGCCGTGTGGGCTTCTTCCAGGGAGACATCCGCCTCCTCTCAGATGACATGAAGGCTCTTCGCCCCACCATCTTCCCTGTGGTCCCACGGCTGCTGAATCGGATGTATGACAAGGTGAGCCCCACAGACTACACGGCTTTGTATTAGCTGCTGTGGACAGAATCTGGGGTCCCAGGGAGGCTTGCTTTCCCTCTCCTCCTTTCCTATGTCCCCTGTCTCTTCCCTGCACTTCCTTCTCTGGTTTTCTTCAGCCTCCAAAACTCTGGTTAAAGAGACCTAGCTTTCCTCCTCTTCCCTCCTCCCCTCCCCTCCCTTTCCTATCTCCAAAATGTTCCTGGCCCTTGACAGTGCTAACCTTCAGCTTCATGCCACAAATGCAGTGACCTCTCACGAGGGTACACTGGAGTATGGCTCCTCTGCTGGCTAGTCTGGGTTCGCTTTCTGGAAGATGTGTTTAAAAGCAAGAGTGTCAGGCCCTGAGAGCTGTCTCCTGCTTGTGCTCCTCAGATCTTCCACCAGGCAGACACTTCATTAAAGCGCTGGCTCCTGGAGTTTGCAGCAAAGCGAAAGCAGGCTGAGGTCCGGAGTGGAATCATCAGAAACAATAGCATCTGGGATGACCTCTTCTTTAATAAGATTCAGGTAAAGGAACGAGCCTGTGAGTCTAGCGTGACACGGTGCCCGGCAGGCGACCTCACAGGAGAAGTGGAGAAGATTGTGTCAGTGACCTGTGATACCGTGAAGAAATAAATGACTCTTGTGCTCATGTAGTCAAAGCTTAAGCTGCTGCTGGAATTTTAAAAGCCATGTTTTTTTTTTTTTAATTTTTGGAGATGTGCTATATTGGCTAAAAAGCAACTCGCGGGAGGACCCCTGGGTTGCTTATGCTCCAGTGGATGGCCTCATACCCTTGCATATATGGGCAGCACAAGCTGGACTCCATAGGATGTTAAACAAAGCAAAAGAGAGGACAGGGAGTTGGGAGAGGTGAGGGAGTTAGGGATGGACCCAGTGGAGTTAACAGGAGGAATGAGGAATGAATGTGGTATGAGATTCTCAAATGATTAATTTAAAATATTGTATGCATGTGCATACATACCACATATATACATTTTTAAAAGGCCTCCACCTTGCCTGGGTGGTCAGGCCAGTACTCCACTATGACACTCCTGGGATCTGAAGGTCTGGGCTTCTTCTTGCCATTCCCAGTAAACAGTCTGTGGTGGGTTGAAATAGCACTCCTCACCAGATGGCTAAGGCTCCCCTTTCCCTCTTCTGGTGTCCTGTCCCTTCAGTTTCTCCCAAATCAGGCCAGTCCAGACGTGCCCCTTACCGTATCGCCACCACAGTCTCCATGCTCTGCACCATGCAAGGAATCTAGTTCATTAGTAGTACCAGCTCACTCTTCTCCTTGCTATTCTATTTTTAACCATAAAAATTAATATTTAAGCTCTCTTGGATCAACTTACAGAAACAAAGTGTTTCAAGCATCCTTTGTCCTCTGCAGAACATAGTAAATAAAGCATAGTATTGATTTATGCATGAGAAAAAGGCGATGCCATTAAAATGGAAGCTGGAGAAAATTGTCCTAAGTAATTGTTTTGGAGATCTGCAAATAATGAGAGCGTGTGGAAGCAGCTGAATCCTTTAAGGAGGGAGAAGTGTAGTATTTAAAAAAATGCCACATAGAATAATGGCACTTAATCTCAAACCAGTGGCAGAATAGGACATATTGCAGGTTAAGTTGTAGACTGATCAGGTTTACTATGTGGAAGGGAGGGGCTTCCTCGGCAGGTAGCTTTATTTCCTCAGTACGTAGCTTTCTTCCCAATCTGAGCCGTAGCTTCCAGGGCCCAGCTGTTGAAAGTTGGTCTTGAGTGAGGACCATCTCAGGTGTCACAAGCATTGGCAGCTTCTCTCTTCTCACAGGCCAGTCTCGGTGGGCACGTGAGGATGATTGTTACGGGAGCAGCCCCCGCATCACCAACCGTCCTCGGATTCCTACGAGCAGCTCTGGGGTGCCAGGTATTACCTACCAGGGCCTCCCTCGGGGGTGGTGGTATGTGTGCCAGGCAATACACCTATTATACTCTCTAGTTACAGAGGAAGATCCTGGGGAGCCAAGCCTTTCATTGTGTGGGTAAGAAAAGTTTACATCCACAGAGCAGAATGGCCTTGCCACCTTTTGGGAACCCCCAGGTATATCCCTGTTAGGAGTCCTTTACCTGGGACCTTGGAAGTTTTTGCAAAAGGAAAAGGAATCAGATGAACTATAAATGCTTCCTTAAGGGCTAGAGAGATGTCTCAATGGCTAAGAACACTTATGCTCTTCTAGAGGACCTGAGTTTGGTTTCCAATAACCATATGGTGGTCCACAACTGTCTGTTACTCCAGTTTCAGGGACTCCATTGTCCTCTTCTGTCCTCCACTGTCACTGCACACACATGGTACATATACTCACACACACATACACATAAAATAAATATTTTTTTAAAAATAAAAATATAAATACATGTTTTGTGTGCCTTTTTGTACTCTACAGTCTTCAAAACATCTCCTATCTCAAAGCGAGAGCATCAGGGAGGGAGAGCCCATTCCTTTGTTGTTGTTTGATCATCTCTAAGAAAAAAACAAAAAATAAACAAGCAAAACCATCCCTTCATTTATCCATTCAGTTAAAATCTGTCGCATTCCTGCAGAGGCAAGGTATTGTCTCATGACGGCAGCAAGGCTTTGAGGGAAGTTAAACATGTCTCTTTCTTAAGTACAGGGCTTAAATTTTTATGCTTTATATGCCTTGAATTCTGGAGAGGAAGGTCAAAGATAAAATCAGACCTGCAGTAAGTCTAGAACATTTACCTTGAGTATGCATTATCCAAGTGAAAACAGAGCCTATGGTTGAAATTTGGCCAGAAACCTTTATTCCAAACCACACATGGCAAAAAGCAGCAAGACAGCCCCGCTGTCTTCAGTTCCGCCGGAGCTAGCTGTGCCTCCCACCATCCTCAGCTGGGAGCAGCAGACGGTCGCTGGGAGGCGAGCTGGCCGAGAATTCAGCTGGGAGCAGCAGACGGTCGCTGGGAGGCGAGCTGGCCGAGAAGGGCCACCAGGCAGCTCTGGAACAGTTTGGCCCACATCATGGTTTCTGTGTTTTGCTTGAAGGTCTATGAAGGTTATGGGCAAACTGAATGTACAGCTGGGTGTACCTTCACAACACCAGGAGACTGGACCTCAGGTAGGACAGCTTGCACGAGCCGGGCAGGGGGGAAATGAAACAACAGTCCTTGGTCCACTCAAATAAAAACTTCCAGTCCATCAAATCTGCACAGAAGCTTAGGAGATAAAAGCAAAAGAAAGAAAGAAAATAACAGTTGGCAGTGGTTAGGTCTGGGCTGCGATGCTATAGATCTGACATTTTCTTCATTGCAAATTTTTCACCTTCCTTTTTATATTTCCCCTATTTTAAAATTTTTAATTGTAATTTAAAATTGCATTGATTTGCTTACTTCATCTAGATGTGTGCATGTGCTCGTGCATGCCCTGGCACTCATGTGGAAGTCAGAGGACAACTTTCATGAGTTTGTTTTATCCTTCCACCATGTGGATTTCTGGATCAAACTCAGCTTTGTCAGGCTTAGCAGCAAGCATCTTTTCCCACTGAACTAGCTCAAGAACCAGTCCTGGTTTCTAAATAAATAGAAGTTGTGCAAATTCAGATGACAAAATATAACTCTATGTGGTAAATGCCTATAATACCAGCCCATTGAGTTTTATAGATCTAGATAACCACACTGCCTTACTTACAGTTACTTTAGAACTGTTTTTTAATAGAATGAAAGAAGTAGGCTATGAGATGAATGTGACTTAGACAGCTATCTCTTTCAAAAAAAAATGTATGTGTATGAGTGTTTTGTCTGCATGTACCTATTTGCAAAATGAGTGTGTCTGGTACCTGTAGGGGCCAGTAGAGAATGTTGGATCCCCTGGAACTAGGGTTGTGAGCCACTATGTGGGGTCTGGGAATCAAGTCCCAGTCCTTTTGAGAGACCAGCAAGTAGTTAACTGCTGAGCCATCTCTCCAGTTCCTCCGAGGACGACTTCTTAAAGAATGGGCTATTGCAATGTATCCAGAGGGTGGTGGCAATCTCAAAAGGAGGTCCATGCACACTCTCACTGTGAGGAGAGTCCTCCTCCTAAGCAGACACAAGTCGGTCTGCAGTAGTCAGCTCGTGGGTCATCCATCACCAGGTTCAGCCTAGGCACTGAGCACTCAACAAGAGAATTCTTTAGGACTGTTCCCCTTGGGGCCGTGGTTCATGCTTACATTTGCTCAAATAAAAACTGGGAAACTTAAAATGATGTGCACGCAAAAAAAAAATGCTAGTTAATGCAATAGTATTTCACAGCATCTTGAAACGCGATAGTAAACTCAAAATGGAAACTTCATTTGACTGGGCCAGATAAGGAGTATTGTTTTTTAACCCTGTCTTATTACACTCAAGCTGGGTAAAGACTGCTTCCTATGTAAACTCTTTGGTCACATTCTTACTTCCAGGCATTTTTCAGGAGTCATCTTTGGAAGTATTTAAAAGTATTTTTATTGTTAATTATGTGTCTGTGGGAGGCAGAGTATGTGCTTGTGAGTGCACTTGCCCATGGGGGCCAGCAGGGGGGATCAGATCCCCTGGAGCAAAAGTTCCAGGTGGTCATGAGCCACCCAACAAAGAATCTGGAAACCAAATTCTTCTTCTCTGTAGGAGCACCAAACCCTCTCACCTGCCAAGCTAGCTCTCCAGCACATAGCTCCCCCCCCTCCACCATTGTTTCCATCATTCCACAAACTCCATTCCTTTCGGGCACATTCATTCTTACCGTTTAAAAAAGTACATTTGTTTATTTTTATTTATTTGTGTGGGAGAACATATACATCTCACGGTGCATATGCGGATGTCAGAATAAGGCTTACGAAAGTCCATTCTCTCTGCTTCTGGGGATCGAACTTGAGTCATCAGACTTAGTGGCAGGCCCCTATCCCCACTTTGACCACACTTGGGTTGGCATTTTCCTTAGCATTTTCCCATGTAAAACTGTTTTTTTTTTTTTTTTGGTTTTTATTTTTTTCGACAGGGTTTCTCTGTAGCTTTGGAGCCTGTCCTGGAGCTAGCTCTTGTGAACCAGACTGGCTTTGAACTCACAGAGATCCACCTGCCTCTGCCTCCCAAGTGCTGGGATTAAAGGTGTGCACCACCACCGCCCCAGCTCAAACTGTTGACTTTTTATTCATTCTTACTAGAAAACCTAGCATACTGGGTATGGAAAGACTGTCTCTCTGTATAGTAGTATCATACCAGGTTTGGTAATGTGTCTTCTAAGAGAGAAATCCATGTGCCACAACCTTCTTTTCCATAACCAGGGCACACTGGGTTTCAGGACCTTGGCCAGCACCTGTTTAACCATCTTTTGGCTGGCCAATGTGTGAAGACCACAAAGGCTAGTGACTGACTAGATAGGATATTGTGAATGGAGTTCTTAAGACCAACAAAATTTAACTCCCCCCCCCCACCCGGGACGAGTAGCTTCATCCTTGGGTTTTTTGTTTGTTTTTTTGTTTTGGTCCTTGCTTACCAAGTGTAGTGTTTGTCCGACAGCAGCATCAATATCCTGTGAGAAACACAGATTCTCATGCCTCATCCCAAACCTGAGTCCAAATCTGCAGTGTAACAGGAGTTTTAGGTGCTTATCTATGTATGCACCAATCAACAGCCTTACTAGTGGAAAAGAAGTGATGACTGTATTTGATGACCCACAAGCAAGATGTATGATCTGATAATGGGAAAACATCAAAGTCTCGTGTGGCACCTTCTGGCCTCAGTCTCCTGATACTCAAACATCCTTCTTCTAGATAGTGTGTACCACTATGCCTAGCTGGAAAAAAAAATCTTTTAATATAGGCATCATTTGTAAAACCTCCTAACTATATAGATAATGAACATGAGACTCCCACCTTCCTCAGGCTCCCCATGTAGGTTTGTGATAGGTAAATTATGCCTGTCTCACTCTCTAAGGACCAAATATAAGAGCCAATGAGATAGTTCAGCCAGTGAAGGCATGTGCTGCCCTGCCTGATAATCCCCAGGATCCACTTACTGGAGAGAGAACTGACTCCTCCAAGCTGTCCTCTGACCTCCACACCTGTGCTGTGGCATACTGCTCACACACACACACACACACACACACACACACACTACACTAATAGTATAGTATTATTAATCCTGCAATAGTATAGTGGGAAAATTAAGAACCAAATGTAAACCTAGCATGGTGGTACCCTCCCATAATTGTAAGTCTGGTAAGGTTGCCAGGGGATCACAAGTGTGGGACCAGCCTGGGTGCTATAGTGAATTCCAAAACAACTTGGGATGCAGAGAACTCTGTCTCAAAAATAATCCTGTGTAATAAAAAGAAATCAAATGTAAAGGGAAAGTCGACCTCTGCTTTCTCTGGGATTTTGCTTTGTCCTCAGTTCCTCCCCTTACACCTGAGCAGCACCTGTGTAAAGGTGTGTTACTCAGATCCTACAGCTCCCCACTTTAACCTGCTTGGTGTTTTATTTCCACTTTTTCTTTGTCTTCTTTTTGTTTTGGTAGAGGCAAGGTCTCATGTAGCTTAGGCTAGCCTCACAATTTTTACCATGCAGCCAAGGATGGTGATACTTTCCCTCCACCTCTCAAGTTGTGGAATCGTAGGCATGCCCCACCATGCCAGGATGCTTGGGGACCTCATGGGGTGTCAAGCACCATCAGCGCTGAAACACTGACAAGTGTCATTTTGTTCTGGTGTCCTAGGGCACGTGGGGGCACCTCTGCCCTGCAATCATATCAAGCTGGTCGATGCAGAGGAACTCAACTACTGGACCAGTAAAGGAGAGGGAGAGGTGAGCTTAAGATGTCATGTCTTGCTTCTGTGGGTGTCACGTGTAGCCAGTTGACAGCAAAAACAGTGTGGATGGAGCCATTTTCTCCTTACCTGCATGTAAAGTCATTTAAAGTTATTCTTGATTCAACCAAAGCCCAACACTGAGACTCAGTGAACTAAATCAAGATTTTGTTTTTTAAATTTCTGACCTTTAAAAGAAGTTTCCCTCCCCCATGTACACACCCGGCTGTGGCACGAGTTACTTGTCTCCTCAGAAACATGGCCATACTCAAATAGGCCAAGTGAAGTGGGCTGAGCTGGGCTGTTCTCACTCAGACCTAGGGAGTGGGTGGAGAAACAGATTGTTTGCCAATGAAGCAGGGAACCTGAGCAGCTCTGGTAGGATTGCCCAGTCATGGGTATCTGTGGTGAGCATCACAAAACACCATGAGCCTACAGTTGTTGACTGAGATTTCTGTCCCACCTGTCCCGCAGCCATTCAATCCCAAAGAAACACACAGAGGCCTACATTAATTATAAACTGGTTGGCCTAGTAGCTAAGGCTTTCTTATTAACTAATTCTTACATGTTAGCCACGTGGTTTGGTACCTTTAATCAGCGAGGCATTCTCATCTTGCTTCCTCTCTGTCTGGTGACAACTGCAGACTGAGCTTTTCTCTTCCCAGAATTCTCCTGTTCTGCTTGCCCCACCTTTATTTCCTTCCTGGCTACTGGCCAACCAGCATTTTATTAAAATACAAGTGACAAATCTTTACAAAGTGCAAGGCCATTGTCCCACAGCATAGGGTCATGGACTCCTGAGGGAGAAGTAGCAAATGAAGAAAGAGTAGCCATGGCAGGGGTGGGCATTGCTTCAGAGAAGGCAAGGGGTGGGCCAAAGGACAGAGATAGCAGAAGGATACTCCACATCCTCTGGGCTGTCACAGTCTCCACAGTGGCCTTCCAATAGATGGAGAGCCACTATTGATCCTGTGCCTGGTGACAGGCAGTGCTGGACCCCTTACGTCGTGAGTGAGCTAAGCCATGGTATTCGTCCCCCACAGATATGTGTGAAGGGACCAAATGTGTTCAAAGGCTACTTAAAAGATGAGGACAGGACAAAGGAGGCCCTGGACAGCGACGGCTGGCTTCACACTGGAGACATTGGGAAATGGCTGCCGGTATGTACGTTTGGAGGCTGGTGTCCCGCATGTCAACGATGAGTGGGTATGAGATCCAGGTCACTGAGGGGGCAGCTCTCCATATGCACCCCAGACTTGTCCCAAGCTTCCTGTTCCTGTTGCCCCAATAACAGTGGCATTGGCCTGTGTGGAGGACAGAACTTGGGCCTTAAAATCAACTTCCTGGATTTCAAGGAAGGGTTTGCAAGTGTGTGGAGCCTGGTGGATAAGTAGAAGGAGGTGTATTTCTTGAGCAGATCTGAGAAAGACAGTGTCTTAGTTAGAGTTTCATTGCTGTGAAGAGACGTTGTGATCATGGCAACCCTTATAAAGGAAAGTGTTTCACTGGAGCTTGCTTACAGGTCAGAGGGTTAGTCCGTTATTGTCCTAGCAGGAAACACGACAGCATGCAGGTAGACATGGTGTTGGAGAGGTTACTGAGAATTCTATACCCAGACTGGCAGGCAGCAGGAAAAGAGCATGCCACTGGGCCTGGCATGGGCTTCCAGAACTCCAAAACTCACCCCCCCCCCCCCACCGTGACATAGTTTCTCCAACAAGGCTACACCTAATCCAACAAGGCCCCAACTCCCAGTAGTGCCACTCCCTCTGAGCCTGTGGGGGCCATTTTCATTCAGACTGCCATAGTCAGGGGCACCGTCCCCAGCAGAGAGGTCAGTGTCTGGAAAAGGGAAAACCAGGGAACTGAGGAACTGGCAGGTACCGGATACTGGCTGCTTCAGCTCTTTGATCTCTGGAAGTTGATGTGTCACCTTGAGAAAAGTCACACTCCTCTTTTGGGCCACACCCTGGCCCATTTGTAGAAACTGGATCTTCATAGCAGTCTTTGGCCACGGCTCCCAGCTTTTTTAGCTCAAACCAATTTGCCTCATTCTCTAATTTAAATTTAAATACATTATTTATGTGTTCTGTGTACCTGCGTGCTTGCGTGTGAGTGTGTACACCGCAGGGACTGTGCAGCCAGAGAACAGCTTGGTGTTTTAATTCTCCTCCTAGCATGAGAATCTTGGAAATCAGACTCGGGTCCTAAGCCTCGACAGAAAGTGCCTTTATCCACTGAGCCAACCTTCTGGCCCACATCCCTTAGTTTTAAAATAAAGATAATAGCATCGTTTGCCGCTGCAGTCGTCATTACAAGAAACAAATGAGATCATGGCTACGAGCCCTTAACAGTGCCTGGCATGTATCAAACAGGAATACAAAGGAAAAAAATGCTGTTGCCAACACCCAGAGCCCTTGCCTAGTGTCACTCAGCCAGGGGACCTCTTCTGTGTGTCTGGAAAGTTGCTGCTGTTTGATCAGAATCGAAGTGTTGAGTTTTTCAGACACATGAGTAATGCTGAGCCCTCCCACAGGCTCTGGGGCCAGGTGAGCCAATTTGCCTCTGCTTGGGCCCCTGCACTTGTCCTTGAGAAACACTCATGCTGGTGGCAGACAAGGACAAGTCCCCATTGTGTTCCCTGGAATGGGGACTCTGCTCAGGGAAGGCATATATTTTTATTTTTATTTTTGGTGTGAGTAGGGTTGAGGGAAGAAGCTGAGGACAAGGACTCACTGGACCTGACTCTCCGGTCAAGAGAACAAGAGAAAGTAGAAGGGACCATCAGGACAGTTGGGACAGGATCAGTAGACAATCAGAGGCCTCCAACCAAAGGCCCACGGATAAGTGGGAGAGGGGCCAGAGAGGCCTGTGGGGCATGGACACCTGTGGAGGGACAGTTGTCCCCTAAGCCAAGGAAGATTGAGACTCAAGGCCCTGCACTCTTGACAGCCCCCTTGCAAGGTCCTGCAATCAATTGTATTATTATTTTGCTTTTATATATTGATGAGATGGCAGTGATAGATTACTTTTGAGAAGGTATTTCTGTATAGTCCTAGGGATATGACTGGCCTCAAATGTGCTGCCATCCTCCTGCTCCAACCTTCCAAGTGTTGGGATTACAGACATATACTGGTTTCTGCATTAGTTTTTTTCATAAAGAAAGAGTCTCAGAACCATACACACTCAGAGCTGAAGCACTGAACATGAAAGGAGGCTCCCAGCATTCAGGGTGTGGTGAGAAGTGAATAAATAAATCCTTGTGAAGGAGCTGGTGTGCTCAGACACGAGAAACTCAAAGGCTGCCCGGAGCCCGTGGAGTCAGTATCAAAAGTCATCATCACTTCTAAATAAGGGCTGAATATTAATTGAAATTATTCTTACATTTGAAATAAGTGTTTATTCTTTCTGTCTCTCATGTCAGGCCAGTTGCCTTTCATGGTTTAACTTCATCTTAGCTATGAACACTATTTTTCTATACGCTGTGTTTGGCCTTTTTGTTTCTGCTCATAAACAAGATTGATCTGTAATTTTTCTTTTAAAATACGACCCTGGTTTTGGTGTCAGCTTATTTGAATGAATGGACGAGTGGTGTTTTTGTCATTCCCCCACCCCATTTTCGGGAAGACCATGTGAAAGGCTTCAATGCTTATATTTAAGAGGTATTTGTGCTCGAAAAAATATTGTTTTATAGTAATAGATGAAGAAGGCATAGTCCTCTAATCCAGTAAATCCACGTGGCTGTTGGGGGAGTTAACTAACGTGTTTGAACCTCATTTTCCTAATTAGAGGAACAGAGGTGACAGCAGCCAGCTGTTGCTATGGAAACCAAAGAAGCTTAGTGTAAGGGCAGTGTAGGAGATCCAGCCCCAGTGTTGAGAAACACAGGCCTGCTTTCTTCTTCTCTCCTGGAGAGATTGCTCTGGCCCTGGAGGATAAGCAGATGGAGTGGGGATGAGGGACTGCAGGGGTCTGTCTATCTGTCTGTTCAAGGTACAATGTCCATGGGAGAAGGAAGAGGTTGATGAGAGAGGGGTCTGTGAGTGAGGATTGATGGGTCTGAGCCAAGAGAGAGAGGTGAAGCAAACAGGGACGACCCCAGGCTGGGTTAGACTTGAGAAGAATGATCTCCAGGAGCCTCATTCTGGGTGAGCTGTATTTGGGGTAGACAGATCTTCACATCCTGATGGGAGTCACTGACCAGCAGTGAGATCTGGGAGCCTGTCAATGAAGCGATCTAGCAACTTTGGCATGTGGAAATGGTTATCCCTGGTGTGCTGTTCTCAGAGATAATGAAAGTACAGCATCTACTTAAGCAACCCAGGAACTCAAAAAGGTCCCGGGTCAGTGAGGTGAACAGGGTCTGGGAGGCCCCTGGCACCAGCCCTCTATGCCAGTGGATACTGGATAGACTAGGGCTTCCAACATCATCTGGTAGCAGAAGAGGAATCTGCCATCCACCAGGAGATGGCAAGGGCACACCGGGGTTGAGGCAGTAGCTGGGGCAATAGACCTAGTGAGGTCAAAGAGAATGAACCTGGAGATGCTGGCGAGGGAAAGTGGAGCTGGAGCATGGGCCTTGGCAAGAGGAGCCCTGATGGGGCAGAGATGGAGCTGAGCGGAGGCAGATGCATGCCTGCTTCTGGGGTGAGAGTGACTGGGGAAACAGAAGGGTCTGGTGAGGCTGATCCAGAAGAAAGGATGGTGGATGCTCAGAACTGGCATGTCACCCACCTGTGGTGGGCGACGGCTCCCTCAAGCTCCATGCAACATCTCTGTAACACAGAGCGGAGCAGCTTGTGCTGGGGTACACAGGGTAAGTTTACACTGAGGAGGCAGGGGTCCAGCTTGGAAATGGGAGTGCTTTCCTAGGACGCTGTCTGTTCAACTCCACAGGAGGGAACACTTAAAATCATCGATCGGAAAAAGCACATATTTAAACTTGCTCAAGGGGAATACGTTGCACCAGAGAAGATTGAGAACATCTACATCCGGAGTGAGCCTGTGGCACAAGTCTATGTCCATGGGGACAGCTTAAAGGTGAGTGATGGTGCTCCAGCCCTCCTGCGCATACTGGCCTGCTGAGAAATCCAGATTAGGTTGTGATTTCTAGCAAACTGCCAGGATTCATCCATACATTTCAGGTCAAGAGGGGAAAATTCTTGAGAAAAGAGAAATTGTGGAGCTTGAGAGTCTAGCTCACTAGGTAAAGTGTTTGCCGGGCATGCAGGAGGAAGTCCTGGGTTCTGTGCCCAGCACCACACAGAACCAGAACATGCAGGAGCAGAGGCAAAAGGATCATGAGTTTGAGTCCAGTCTCAGCCTCAAAGCAAAAATACAGAAGAAATCTTGATTACTTAGGGTTTGGTTAATTGCAATTAAGGCAAATGAGTTGCTTGAAGGCACAGAAACAAACATTTCTACTAATTTTAGCATATTTTCACTAACTTCCAAGGGAGGTGAATTTCTTGAGGCAAGATATTAAATAAAAATTCAGGATTTTTTTTTTCTGATTGTGTGTGTGCATGTGCGTGCGCACGCACGTGTTGCTGTGGGTTGAATTCAGGGTCTTCCTCTTCCTGCATACTAACCAGACAGTATGCCTCTGAGATCCACCACCCTCTAGGCCCTGCCACACAACTAAAGTGGACAGGTAAGTGGGTATAGTGTTGCCAGGAATGTACCAATGATAATATCACTTATCAGTACTAAAATGTTTCCGGTCAATATCATTTAGATCACAGTCAGAAAAACCAAAAACGTATTCTGTGATATTAGAGTTATTGACTATTCTATCCTATGCATTTGCTTATATAATTAAACCTTAAATCACTTTTAAAGAATAGCCAGAAAAATTAAAACAGTTCTTCACAAATAATTTCGAAGTAGTTCTGAAGTTCTGGGAAATGTGTTTGACTTGCAGACTTTGGATCAATAAAGTTGTTTGATTAGTATCCTCCAAGATGTGCAGATTTGAGATTGACATGAGAATCAGGGGGATATATCAGAAATTGTGTGTGTGTGTCTATATGTGTATATGTCTGTGTGTGTGTGTATGTATATGTGTGTATGTATGTGTGTATATATATGTGTGTGTATTATGTGTGTATGTATGTCTGGTGTATATGAGTGTGTGTGTGTTTGATTTTTGACTTTTGGTATTAGAGCTTGAACCCATTCCTCAAGCATACTAATCAACTGCTTTGCCATTGAGCAGCCCCATGTCAGAAGCGATCAGCCAGGACTGTGTGGCACCCTGGTGGAGCAGCCCCATGTCAGAAGCAATCAGCCAGGACTGTGTGGCACCCTGGTGGATGTGTTTTATAACCTCTGAACAAATGTTTCATAACGGAAGACTTATTTTTAGGAAAGGGTGGAGTCTGAGAATACCAAGAGATTAGTTTTAATGCCAGACCACAAATGAGAACTCTAAAAGCTTGTGTCCTGACTGTGTTTTCTGGTGGGCTTTGTAGGCCTTTTTGGTTGGCATTGTTGTGCCTGACCCTGAAGTCATGCCTGCATGGGCCCAGAAGAAAGGAATCAAAGGGACCTTCCAGGAGCTTTGCAAAAATAAGGTCTGTACCCCCAGGTGCTTCCTGACAGGCTGCTGAGCATTTTATGAGTCACATAATGAGGGGACAGGAAAGCTAGTGACAGTGAAATTTAAATGCGTACAGAGTGTCTGGTATTACTTTACACATGGTAGGACCCTAAACCAGGCCTGTGCCTTTTTGTAGTTGCTGAAGTTATTCCTGTTTTCTTTTTAGAAATTGAGAAAACCATTAAATCCTTAGGTCCAGGGGCCACCACACAATTTATCTAGCCTTCTCATTCCCTGGCCTGAAAGGGAGCAGTCTAAGAGGAAGTGATTTGTCCCAGGACACAGATCCCAGGACACAGATGGGTCACAGAAGAGTCAGATGTGAACACAGGCTTTCTGAGCCTTGCCAAGAGAAGGTGGATCTCATGTGCACTGAGTTAAGAGATAGTGATAGAATGGAAACCGTAGCACTGTTCTTCCTGCTTAGAGCATCCATCTCTCCTACCGCCATGGAACTGCCTTATGGCATATGTCTAGGGAGGATTGTCGTTCCATGTTTCAGCAGTAGACATAGGCTGGTGTCTCTGGTTCCACTTTCCCTCGCTGAACCCTGAGCTTGCATGGGGTGGCAGTACTGCCAGGCTGACCAAAAGAACACTTAGAATAAAGCATGCCCTAACACAGTGACCTCTTTGGTCATTTGCACCTCTTCCTTTCCTGGTGAGAGATAGGTATTGGCATGGCACCAGGTTACCCTCAACAGGGAAGGGACTGAGAGAGCATGCGTCTGCTCCATCACTGGTTAACCTTAATTCAAAACCATATCCCTTCTATCCCCATTTTGAAATGCATTCTTATTGTTTTGCTTTCATGGTTCAATTCAGGAGTTGAAGAAAGCCATTCTGGATGACTTGGTGATGTTGGGGAAGGAAAGTGGACTCCATTCTTTTGAACAGGTAACTGTGACCTTCCCCACATCCATTGTATCCCTTTGCATCGTAACACGGTGACCCTGCCCTAGACTCTCTCCTCTGTGATGTGGCCCACTAGGAGGCTAGATACCAACAGACTCCCGAAGGCCTGTTTCAAGCCAACTGCCTGCTCCTGAACTAAAATAGGTCACTGGACAAGTAAGACTGTGCTTGTTGTCCCTACAACCGCAGGCGATCGTAAGGCTGAAATAGAAGCCTTGCTGTCTCTGGAAGACCACGTGGGCCTGCTTGGGCTCCCAAGTGCCCTACCTTATTTTTACTTTTGTGGATACTGCCTTCTTGGCAGCTTACTTTCTTACTTACTTACTTACTACCAGCCCAGTGGCCTCCTGCAAAAGAGGAGGAAACAAGGCACCCACAAAGAAAGGACACTCAGTTCCCCTGAGACCTACTGTAGCTAGACTCAGCACTGAGCATGCTCAGTCCTACCTCATGTATCATCTATGCGCTTGAGTAAAAGCCACAGAGAAAAAGGTTCCGAGCAGAAAATAGTAATATACTGATAGACATTTTCATTCCTTGGATTCTGAAATAATTGTCTTTTATAAAGTCAGCATTTCATAATTTTGTGGTGTGGGTAGGGGATGACCGTGAGATGGCCCAGCAAGCAAAGGTGCTTCTTACCACACTGGGTGACCTGAGTTCAGTGCCTGAGTCCCATATGATGGACGGAGAGAACCAGCTCCTGAAAGTTGACCTCTGAACTCTGCTCATGAGTGTTCATATTCATTCATACAGAAAGACAGGGAGAGATACACAGAGAGAAATAGAACAAAGTTTTTTTCAATAATTGCTTTTTACCAAGCATGGTGGGCACACCTTTAATCCCAGCATGTGGGAGGCAGAGGCAAGAAGATCTCTGTGAGTTCAAGGCCAGTCTTGTCTACATGGCAAGTTCCAGGACAGCCAGAGCTCTGCAGAGACACCCAAAAACTAACAAACAAATGTTTTCCATTAAAAAATGTCCCACAAATATAGTATGAGAAATCTACAAGGCTTAGGAGAATTTTTAAATTTTGTATGCTGGTTTGATGATAGCGTAGAACTATTTTTAAATTGGTTTTAAATGTACAATTCTTATGTTTAATCTGAAATTAAAATGTCTAGGTACAAAGATCTTAAAAATTTTTTCTTTTTTATTCTTGTTTTTCTTGGTTTTGGACAGGATCTCATGCTATAGTAGTTTTAGAACAGGACAGGCTGGCCTGCTGCATATCACATAAACCAGGATGGTCTTGAACCCATTGCAATCCTCCTGTCTCAGCCTCCCAAGTATTAGGATTACAGGCATGAGCAACCTACCACACCCAGCTATGATTTTAATTTCTTAATTTCAAGATGAAGAAATCTAAAATAGTTTCCATGTTTGACATTGTTTTCCTCTTGAAACTTACGTGTCAGTTAAGCCAATTTGAGAAACAAGCTTTCATTTGTCAGTAGCTACTTTAGGACAGCCAAAGCTGAATATGAAGTGTTCCTGCTGCTGACTTTGCTTTTTAGAGTAGAAGGTCCATTTTTGCCACTATGATTATTTCAGTCTCCAAATTTGGTAGGATTTATTTTGTTGTTCTTCCTTAATGGGGATCTGTGTGGCTAGATCACAGGTCCATGTGGTCCAGGAGCTACCCCTGAGTGATTCCAGACCCTGTAGTCTGGGGTGATTTGAAGGACAGACTCTGAGCCACCTGGGGACAGCCTTGTGAATTCCTGAGCCCCACACGCCCTCTGTTGGTGCTAGGATGCATGACTAGCACCAGAATGATAAAACCCTGCACACTGGCATTAGGGATAGGCGTGAGAGGGGTTGAGAGGATGGTGTGTGTGTGTGTGTGTATGCACGCGTGTGTGATATTCTTAAGGTTATTTTAGAAGAAACCTTCAATTAAAATTCCACTGTTCTCCTGTTCCCCGTTGCCTTTGGTTAGGGCATTAATGAGAGGCAAGCGAATCTTGACTTTCTGTATGCCCTTTCTGCTCGAATAATCTGCCCTCACTATGGTAAACTCAGATGCAGGAAAGTCATGTGACATCCCAGAGGTCTTTAGCTTTATCACCAAAGTTGTTACATCTTGGTTTTCTCTGGTCTCATTCTCCTCATTCCCTGCTCTGTGGCATCCTCCCCGGCACAGAATTAGCATGTAGCCTCAGCTGACCATAGCAAAACAAGCAGCAGGGCTCCTGCCCAGGGGAAGGTTTGCTCCAAACATGGGCCCCCCTTCCCCTCCTTCACAGCAGCTGTCCCAGATGATCCACAGTCCATTTTTGTCTTGGCCTTTTCCCTTTTCAAAAACAAATGGGCAGAGGCTTGAGGTGTGGCTTAGCTGTCAAAGTGCTTGTCTAGTATGTAGCCCTAGGTTTGATCCCCAGTACCACACATACTAGGTATGGAGGCCGTGTGCTCTTATAATTCTAGCACAGGCGAGGTAGATGCAGAAAGATCAGAAGTTCAAGGCCATTCCAACCACAAAGCAAGTTCCGGGTCAACCGAGGCTGCAGGAGACCTTGTTTCAAACAAACCCAAACCAAAACAGTTCAGCCAGGGATGGTGGCCCACACTTGCAGCCCCAGAGCTGGGAGGTTAAAACAGGAGGATCAGAAATTCAAGGCCAGTCTGAGCTATGTAGAGAAACTCTATCTCAAGGTGGGGAAAGAGGCAGTTAAGGGTTAGCTCAAAACACAAAGAACAGCATAACTAAGTCCAGAATCCAAGTCATCCTATGTAAACTTTAGTAGTTAAAATTTATTGAGTTGGGTTGATGGCACTAAACTTCGAATTTAAAAAATGGATTTACTGAGACATAATGTCCAGAACCATGCAATTCTAAGGACTAGGTCAGCCATATGACTTACAGAGGTCTTTGAAAGATGTATTTTACTAGTAGACAGGTTGTTCTTAAAATATCCCATCAACAGTGAAACAATGTAGCTGACTAACAGATATTTGAGCACATTTAATTTTCATTTAATAATGTTCTTAGTATTTGTGTGCCTCATTGATTTGCATAGACAATGAACTTTGACACAATAGATTTTTTTTCCAACTTCTAACCAGTGAACCTCTTCTTAATCATACTGTATTTCTTCTTATTGAAAGGGATAGTTGTTGAATCAATTTAGGGGTGGATTTATCATTTTTCTGATTCATAGAAATGTTTTATTTTTCTTTTTTTCTGTCTTTAATCTTAAATTATTTATTTTGGGTTTATTATCTACAAGCAAACTTGAGTTAATACCTTTGAAAAACTGAAAGTACTATGGTTCTTCATACATGCACAAGTTTATGGTTTTGTTGTTGTTGCTTTTTAAAAAAAATTGAGAGCTTATATATTTTTGTTTTATGTGTATGGGTGTTTTGCCTGTATGTATGCCCATTCACTATGTGTGTGCAGTACTCTAAAGAGGCCAGAAGAGGGCGCCAGATACTGTGGAACTGAAGTTTCAGACAATTAGCTGTGAACTGCCGTGTGGGTGCTAGTAATGGAGCCCAGTAAGAGCAGCCAGTGCTCGTGACCAAGGAATTATTTCTCCAGCTCCTGGTTCATGTTCTCATGAGATGACATAAATAGAGACTTTGGGGATATTACACTCCAATGCGATGTTTAAATGTTACAATAAATCTCATTTTGGTAACAAGTTTCAAGAATAAAAAAGCTAATGTTAGGCATTTTCTTTCTTATTTCTTCTATAAAATGTATTAAAAGTTAGAAAGAGCCAGGCATGGTAGTACACTCAGGAAACAGAGGCAAGTGGATCCCCATGAGCCTACATAGTAAGTTACAGACCAACCAGAGCTGCAGTGAGAGACACTGTCTCAAAAAATAAATGTACATACATACATACATACATACATACATACACACATACACACATACACACATACACACATACATTCTCACATGCACATGAGGCTAGAGACATGACTTGGTGGCTAAGAGTTGTTCTTCCAGAGTACCTGGGCTCAATTCCCAGCACCCACATGGAGGCTCACAACTGTCTGTAACTCCAGCTCCAGGGTACTGATGCCCCCTGCTGGCCTCCACAGGCACAGCATTGCATGTGATGTACAGATATACATGTGGGCAAAACACTCACACACGTTAAATAAATAAAATTGGAAAATCAGCTTTATGGATATAAATGAAGATTTAAGAATCCTTTTTGTTGTTGATTTTTCAAGACAGGGTTTCTCTGTGTAGCAGCTCTAGCTGTTCTGGAACTCGCTCTGTAGACCAGGCTGGCCTTGAACTCACTGAGATCTGTCTTCCTCTGCCTTCCAAGAGCTGGGATTAAAGGCGTGTGCCACCACACCTGACAAATATTCTCTTTTGTAATACACTCATGATTAGACAACTTTATGGAAAGCATATAATTGCTTCACAAAATGAATTCATGCCTTATTGTTGACTCTCTCCTGAAAAAGCCCAAAGTCTGTTGCCCACAGTTAAAGTTATCATTGACAATTGTCTGACCTCCCTTCCTCCCTCCCTTCCTTCCTTCCTTCCTTCCTTTCTCTTTCTTTCTTTCTTTCTTTCTTTCTTTCTTTCTTTCCACTGCCCAGACTTTGGGTCACTCAAGTCAGTTGTATGGGTGTTTGTGGAAGAATGCAAACGGACCCAGGACAGCTCCTGGTAGCGGTGTAGCTCTGATCTGCTCACTGAGGGACAGAATTGCCAGCTGGATTCAGGCCTCTAACCTGTTTGTGGGGCTGAACCTGGTGGTACAAGTTCAGGCAGGGCAGCCCGGCAGGCAGCTGGGTGGAAGGGCTGCTCACTCGATCATGCTTCCCCTTGAGCCCTTGTCCCCTCACAGCCTCCACACCACCTAAGAGGCATCCTGTAGTTCCCTCTGCACTTTCTGTGGCTGCTGCCATCACAGCTGCATTCCCCTGTTGCTCCTGGACTGAACCCCCCCACCCCCATGTACCACTGGGAAATCAGAAGATGGCAGCCAGGCTGCAGACATTT